TTTAAACTTTTTTCATTTTTTGTTCATTTTTTTCTTATTTTATTTTATTATTTTTTCATTTTTTGATTTTATTATTTTGTTACATTTGAAATTATATTATTATTCTTAATTTTTTATTTATTATTTTTTTAATTTAAAAATTTTTTTAATTAAAAAAATTCTTAATTTTAAAATATTTAATTCTTATTATTTTATTTTTTATTAATTTTTAAATTTATTTATCTTTAAAAATTTTTTTTTCACTTTTAAATTTTTTATTAAAAATTTTATTAAACAAATATTTTCTAAATTTTATTTTTATTATTTTAATTTTTAAATTTTTTATTTAAAATTTTTATTCAACAAATTTTTTCTTAATTCTATTTTTATTATTTTAATTTTTAAATTTTTTATTAATTAATTTATTATTTATTTATTTATTTTTATTTTTTAATTTAATTTAAAATTATTTTATTATCTTTAATTTGTAAATTAATTAATTAATTAATTATTTTTTCTTTTTTAAATTTTAATCTAATTTTTAATTTTTATTAATTTTTAAAATTTTATTTTTAATTTCTAATTGAAATTTTTTTTTAATTTCTCCCAATAATTATAGGTTTCAGCAACATATCTTGATGGTTATCGAGCAATAGCAGTTTGTCCTGGGGTTGGCCCTAGATCTGATGAGAAGGCACTGAAGACAGTACAAGCTATTTTTAAAAGGTGAATGAGAGCTAGGGGAGAGAAAAGTGAGAGAAAACACAAAATAGAGAGATTTAAAACTGAGGAAAGAGAAAGAAAGAAAGGAGGAAAAAAAGAGTGAGTGAAAGAGAATGGGAAAAAAAGAGAGAATTAAGTAAAGGGAAAGAAGAGAGAGAGGGAGTGACAAAGAAATGATCCCATTCTTTACAGGTGTTCAAGGCTATTAAAGGAAAGAGGGTATAAAGACTATACAAAGACTCATGTCCATGTGTGTCCCAAAAGTATTTTGTCTTCATGTGTCAATATCCTTATTTTATTTCTTTAGAGTTTTAATTTTACTTTTTTATGATCCAAAATACTTTCACTACTAATTTCTTCTTTCCTCTATTTCAGATAATGGGTGGAGGTAAGTCTTTATCAGAGTCTGTCTCTTGGTTTGGGGTGGAGCATCCTGTGAAAGAAGCTGTTGAGATATTTAGTACCGAAATAGCACCAGCTGGCACTGGAATGGGTAAGGAGGAGCCACCCCATACCTTCACAATATCATCTACTAATAGTTTCTAGTGAACACTTAGAAGTTAGAATATGTACATGTACATGTACATGTAGCCCCCCCCCCCCTAGAAATCATGCACATACTAATTTTGCTCAATTTAGCAGATTATTATTATTATTATCATTATAATATTATTACTATTACTATTATGTATGGTTACTATTAATTTATAATTTTTTACTTTTTAGCTCCTGGCCTCACTGCTATAGTGGGAGGAAGACCAAAAGTGTAAGTAAATAATTATTATTTTAGAGATTTAGTATTTTAATAATTTATATAGTTCTCCAGTCATTAAGCTTTTCTCGTTCTTGTATCCAAAGGATAAACTACCAGTGAGTATGATGATACATTGTACAGTACATGTACAGTGTATATGGGCAACTTCTTGGAACAAATTTTAAAATTTGTGAAAAATCCAATTTTGATTGGAATCAGTTCAAACTTTCTACACAACATAAAAACATGTACGTACATAAGAAAAAATTATAAAAATGAAGAATTCCCTACTTTTCAATTTTATAGTACAGGGACTTTAGCCTGATTTTGGAGCAACTTTAAAAATTCATTAAAAATCTAATTTTGATCAAAATCAGTTCAAACTTTCTACACAACATAAGTACATTTATATACATCAGAAAAAAATTACAAAAAGAAAAATTCCCTACTTTTCAATTTTGGCAAAATTTGGCCCGGGACCTTGTACTATAGTACAGGGACTTTGGTCCAATTTTGGAGCAACTTTAAAAATTAATAAAAAAATCTAATTTTGATCAGAATCAGTTCAAACTTTCTACACAACATAAGAACATTTATATACATCAGAAAAAATTATTAAAATAAAAAATTCTTAACTTTTAAATTTTAACAAAATTTGGCCCAGGACCGTGTGCTATAGCTCAGGGAATTTTACCCAATTTTGGAGCAATTTATTTGTAAAAAAAACTTAATTTTGATGAAAAACTTGGTACATAACATAAGCACATGTATGTATTGAAATATCCTTAATTTTGAGAGCCCTTTTCTAATCATATACTATGATATACTACTAATTGTGCTAGTACTTTTACCCTCATGTCTGTTTATAATAATAAAGCCAATTGCTATAGACCAATTTACACTCCACTCATAAGAGCATCAAGCTAAGACTGGAAAATCCTATGTAACCGGTTGATGGATCCTATAAATTGAACTCTATACTTTACTGATAGTTAACAGGGCCACTGGTGAAAAGGCACTTCCTGTCTTAAGTGTGTGTAGTGTATATTGAGCCAAGCCTAAAGCCATGGGAAATCGTGCTTTACAATTTTTTGTGGTTTTTCACCAATATTTTATCAGATGTGGAGTTGTAGTATTAGTAGCTACATGTACCTGATCAAAAAAAACTCAAAAAAAATTATCATTTTTTCTATTTTAGTTAACAATATCAATGGATGGTAGTGTAGCAATGGAGAAGGTTTATTCATCAGATCCAGCTCCTCTTGATGTTGGTAATAAAGCAACTGAAACTGATTCAAAGCATAGCATGCCTAATAAGTGTAAGCATAGACTGTAATGTCATTATTTTATTGATTGTATTGTCCTTTGTAGTCCCGTTGGATGGTAAGGAATGTCTTAATGACATAGCTTACCTAAGAAGTGGAGATAAGGGGAATACCTCAAACATTGGTTAGTGTTTATGATAAATTGTGACATTGAATTATGTGAATATTATTATTGATAATGTTCACATGACTACTCAAAGTCACATGACTAACTTACATGTAGCCGTTACATTTACTGTACATGTACATCCCTTTATCCTTCACAGGTGTGGTAGCAAGGGATCCTGGGTATTATTCTTACTTGAAGGATCATGTGACGGAGAAGGTTGTAGCTGAATGGTTTAAAGAGTTTTTGGAGCCTTCGGAAGATGAAACCATTTATGACCTTGTGACAAGGTAATAATAGAACTCTCCTTCCTCTCTCTCTCCTTTTCACCTAAAATGTGGTGATTTTCACATTAAAATGGCTGACAAGCTCTACAAAAATTTTTTAGCTTATAGTTGTTTTAGTTGATGACAATTTTCTCAAAATAAATAGGTAGTTACTAGTTACACGAAATTATTAGTGTATAGTTACACGAGCTTTTCTCTTTGATAATTGCTCCGTGAGTCCTTATACTTTCCTTTTTTCTTTGTCAAATATGTGTTCAATATTTCACCTGTCTCTTTTCTTTACAGATATGAGTTGCCAGGTGTTTGTGGTCTCAATTTTGTTCTTCGTAAGTCCCTCGGTGGAGGAGGTATCTCTTCTCTACGCAGTGACCCTCAGGTAAGACATATAACAGTTTTCATAGCAACCATTGATTAATTGATTAGGGTAAAGGCTACGGTCAAAGACTAGCAGTGTTACCTTTAAAAACAAATTAAGTATCATTGTAATCTTTTTTATCATTCATGACAAGATGGTAACACACATACATGTGCATGTGATGAATAATAAATCAAGACTATCATTATACACATTATGTTGTTAACTGATAGACTAATATAGTGAGGTAGTTCCCATAATGTAATACATTAACTTATGTATAGTTTCCCCTTTCCTTTTTAATATTACATTATGCCCACTCACATATCCATAGTATTCATTATCACATTGTAGTAGTTATAATATAAAGTACTGATTATTAAAATTCACATAATCTATAGTTGCTGATAACTGATAATGGAGGATGTTCTTCCTTTAAGACTTGTCTCTATCTTTTACTATATCAACCAGTTTCTTAATACCGATCAACCACTGCTTCACCTGCATAAGACAAATGGTTATCATACTTAATATTGATGCGACCTAACCATACAGCAGTTTTTTTTCGAGGATAACAAATTTCGCAAATTTTTTAAGACTTGCAAAATTAAATTCCTTAAAAATCAGTTTACAGGGTGTAATATGGTACAAGATGGCAGAATAGTGGAAATTGACAAAAATCAATTTTGCAAACCTCCAGATAGAGGTCATTTATAAAAATTATTATCCTCGAAAAAAACACTACACGGTATTTAAAAGTTTTTTTTGTACCTCACTGACATGATCGACCATGAGTCCCACATGTATATCTTCAGCTTTCTTGTAGTCTTTATCTTGGAGAGCTATAGGTCAGTCATGTGACTAAATGTCATGTGATTATTATCAATCTTTTGCTCACTCTTACCTTGTACAAGTGAGCTGAGTCGCTTGTGAACAGGCTGTGAGAGGGTGCTCCATTGTTTGTCGAGCATATCCAAACGCTTTTTGATCTCTTTGAGTAATCTTTCCTAAGGGAAGAAAAGGAAAAGAAAAGAGGCGTTTAAACCGTAATAAAATAATTATTCAAAGATCTTTAAAGTCCATTAACAATGATAACAATGGGTGTGTTTTTAACTGTTTATTTTTGTCCTTTATAATACTCTCCTTCCCTTTTCCTTTCTCTGTTATACAATAATAAAGCTACCTTAAGGATCATACAATTATTAGCCTGTACTTAATACTTAATCTAGCAATTTTCATGATACTGACATTTGGCTGGTATTCAATTTAGCATTTTTGATCATTTAATATTAATAACAATTAATAATTCAATCAGAAATTGAAGTTAGCGCAGACTTAAGTTAGTGATTTTTTTTAAATCACTAAAATTTGCTAAATTAAATGCCCACTAACAATTATCTCCTTAAGGTAATCTATAATACTAACAAATTGTACATAACAAATTAGTGTACATGTACACACCTCAATACACTCCTTGTAATCATCAACCAATTCATTAAGTGACGATAATATTTCCGACTGCGATAAACATCTCACAGCCTCTTCAGAAGTAGGTGTCGCCTCCACTTGAGACGACGACTCCCGAACTGGAACACCAGCAGTCCCGGTAGGAGGAGGTTGGTCACGTGATAGGGTTGTGCTGGTCACGTGATGATGCTCTGTGGCTGGGTAGGCGGGTCTTTTGTTGAGGAGAGCTGGTTTATTGGAGGATTTGGTGTTAGAGGGAGGATTTGACTGGTAAGAGAAAAGAGGAGGGTCATTCCAGCCATACTCTATGAGGAAGCATAAGAATTAAGATTTCACACATAATAATAGATTTAGATCTAGACATTAATTTCAATTTTTATTTTACCATTCATCATAAACTGTATATAATTGACTTTGCACAGTACTTTGACCTTTAGATTCTCGAGATTCACAGACTGGACTGGACGTGGCGGTTTTTGGTTGGTGGTCGTGGTCAAAATTAGGCCTCGCCTCCTTAAAGTAAACTTGCTAGTCTAAGTAAGTAGTCCTAGTGCGAAGCCTAGTGCCTATAAATCCTCTAGTTTGAAGTAGTTTCCTTCCATTTCCTTATTAGACTCTTCGTTTTTAATCATGAAACTAGTCGGGGGCATTTCTTCTCTCTTCTTCTGGTCTGTCCTCTTTGTCTTTGGTAGCATGACCGCAGTATTCGTGGCATGGGGTACCAGTACTGTAACCAGCCAGAAGATGAGTATTGGTAAGAGAGAGAGAGAGCACGGTCATAACTTTATAAGAATTTAAATTTCAAATTAATAATTTTTTTGCATTTTTGTCTGTTTATTGTTGTCATGTTGTGTATAATCTGTTTATTCTGTTACATTGTCCATGTATAATTGTTCTACTCAAATTTTTTTGCCTGCTACTTTAAGCTCAATTTCTACCATGCCTAGTTGCAATTAAACAATCAGATTGCTGATTTTAGAGGTTCATAAATAACTTATGTACCACTGGGAGGTTTGTCTGGTTTGAGAAGTAATTTCCCGGGCAATAGGTGGTTTTAATAAGTAATTTCCGGACGGTTGGAGTTTAATAAGTGGCCCGGAAGTTAATAAGTTTTCCGGTGGGGGGGATTACTTATTAAGTGCGTGCTGCTTAAAATAGGCATGCTGCTGCTAAATGTTGCTAAGTAAACTATTAAAACTAGTTGTTTATTTTAGTACATGGTAGAAGTCGGATATACAACTCTGTGTCGGTATCTATGGCCTTATCATAATAAATGCAATAGATACCTCACCTTGTTGTATAACCTTTACATATAACGTACATATAAGCGAGAGTAGATAAAATAAAAGTGTTGCTCATTTGAGTCACACTGTGAGTACACAGTACCCTGTCTAAAACTGACTACCATTTCAAATTACATGTATATATAAGTGTGGAATGTCAATTTGAAATATAATATCTCATTAAACTGGCATTTCACTCGTGTTTGTTTTTCAAAATACCCTAGCAACTCAACCTGGTAACTGGTTTTAAAACATACTTTTAACTTAAATATACACATGTATTTAAATGTACATGTACATGGGAGAGAAAAAACAGAAAAAATAAAGAAAGAAAGAAGTGTACAATGTAAATACTGTGTATATGTGCATGTATATATTTTTTCTGTACATTTTTGTAGACAATAAACATACCCTCTATGGGGATCGACATAGCCACAGCGTACATTGCCTATGTATACTGTACTGATGAGGCATACACGATATTTCTCTATGTATCATGCTCCTTTTGGTTCTAAGAGGCAGATAAGCACATGCACGAGCCTACAGGATGTGTCAGTGTTGTACCCTTTTATGTCCACTTTCATTTAACATGTTCGCGTCATTAGATTCTCATTAATTAGTACCTCAAGATATACATGTACACTATGTCAGTCAATCATTGATTTTATGCACTCATGTACAAACTACCTGTAGATACATTTAGATGCCAAGGTTATTATTATAGTATAGTACTATATTTTGAAAGTGATATTTGTACCATATGGGATACTGTGTGTCTAGGTTTGAATTATTCAGGTTTCTCTTCTACTTTGTTTACATTATATCAATTATTGCAAGAATTTCAAGCAGCCTTTTGCTTAAAGGCATATACCCACACTTATAACTTATAAGTTTTGCTGTATTGGCAAGATTGTGTTGTTTCTAAGAATCATTCTTACCGAGGGGATTTTCAAATTGAATCTGTTGCATGATATTCTCAGAATGTAAAAGGTTAATTGCTAATGTTCCAAATGTGTACATACATGCACACTTGCTTGTAATTCAATTTGTACATGTACTTGTGCATGTATCGTTTTAAACCCAATAACATGATGGATGTTGTTGGCCAATGTGAAAGGCCAAGGAGAGCCAATGAAAACATTTTAAGATACTAATTACGCCTCAGTTATGGCTTGGAGAGCATTTAACAGCTCAGGCTTGCTAATTGGTCTTAATCACAGTATTGTGAAGTATTTTAACGCCATCCTTATTTTGACTTGCTCATTGGAATTTTGTGCTATGTTCTTTGTGAGAAATTTTCCTTAAAATTTGTACTCTCTTCTCCTTTTCATTGCTACTCTCAGTAAAATTTATTGATATTTCTCTCTTTTTCTCTCCCTCCTGTTCTCCATCTCTCCCTTCTCCTCTCTCCCCCTCTCTCTTTTTAGAATCACATATAATAACTCCTAATGAGACAATGGAGGTACTAGCCATTAAGGACCTTCACTCGCGACTCGATGACAACAATGATGGTCAGGTTGATTATAAAGAATCAACAGAAGTAGGCAACATCTTCCTCTTAGTTTCCTTGTGTACTCCCAAATATAGTTTAATAAACTTGTGTTTATTTTATGATCCTTCCTCTTTCTCTCCCCCTCTCTCCTTCTCTATCCTCTTTTTTACACACACACACACCTCTTTATATGTTCCACCTTTTCTCCTTTACCCTCTTCTCCCTCTGTCTCCCTCTCTCTCTTTCCCCCTCTCTCTTTTTCCTTCTTGTTTTTTATCTTTTAGTTTGTTCGCGAGAAGTTTCCTGGCCAATCTCAAAACCCTTCTGCTAATGATCGTAGTCACACTCTTCACCTTCAAGATAATATGATATCACTTGATGAGCTTTGGAACAGATGGAAAAACAGCAACGGTATAGAAAACATAGAGTAATCATCACTTGGACTACATGTACATTTGTATAATGTAAAGAATACATGATGAAGAGTTTGATAGTGTGAATTGTAATTGTGGCCAAGATAAATTTATAGACTACATCTACATAGTACGTTGTATGTCTCTCCTTATAAATATATTTATTAGCATCTGCCTATACGGTATTAATATTATGGTACATGTAATACATAAACCATGGTTCATGGAACATGTTATAGTGTATGTAGCTACAGTGAGCTCAAGGTGCCGAGAGGTTGTACATTTTTGTTTTGGATTCGATGCGATCTCCCAATTTTAGGCCAATTGCTAGCGTAAGCACTAGCAAATCTTCTCGAATCCTTCTCCCATTGTTTAAAGAAAAGGAGTCTTTTGTGGGAGATCCTCAGGACACTACCAGGCTTCCCCTTCTGGCAGCTACATGCACAGTAACTATGAATATGGTTATCTCTGCATGTCCTACCCCATGAATATAGTTACCTTTCATCTCCCAGGTGTAATCAGTAAAGTGCAACCTCGGCCCTTTGATCTTCTGTAGCTATAATAATTACTTGTTGTTATAGAACCTACTAGAAGAATGTAGAACATTAAGGAGGCTCAGCCCCTCAGGCACACTATTATGTGCTGTATGACCTTCCTTGCTGCTAGAGAAGTCTTTAAATAGCAGCAGTCTTTAAATAGCCTTATCTTGCTGACCGTTTGCTGCAACGAGCACAGACTTGTTTATAGCCGCAATTTTATTTTATTGTGACCACACCAACTTTCAATGAAGATTAGGCTATTTAACTTTAATAATAGTTAGACGAACCTATCCCGGTACATACATGTACACACAGACAGATGTTTTCTTGACTTAGTGAGCTTTGCCTGATTTTTAATAGCCTTGATTGTTAATTGTTAATTTATGTTTTATTATAATAATTATTATAGTTTATAACTGGTCTAACGATGATGTCATTAAGTGGTTGGAGGCTGTCGTTGATCTGCCCGAACTAGTCCCTCAGTTTCATTCCCTGGGTATCACTGGGCGACAGCTACCATTGTAAGTCTGACCTCTGTAGTACCTAATCTTGACCTCTTGTTTAGGATCGCTACTAACGTTGATCAGTTGTTCAGTCAACTGGGAGTCACGAGACATCAAAGAAAGAAGCTTCAATTAAGAGCAATGGACATTGTATTATTTGGACCATTACCTTGTAAGAGAGAGAGGGGGAGAGGGAGGGAGGGGAGGGTAGGAGAGGGGGCGGAGGTGGAAAAGAAATTAGAAGGGGGCAAATACATGTATGTTTACTACATGTACGTAATGTGCTAGAAATTTTTTACAGTAATTAATGAATTAAAAACATAATCATGATATAAGTAAGTAGTAGATATGATACATGTACATGTGTATTTATTGTTGTTGTAGCAGTTTGCTATGCTTGTTGCTGTCTACATTGATAATTGATTTGTTTGTGCAGAGTTTAACTGGAAAATGCTATATATTGTTTATGCACAACAATTTTAGTTTCAATTCTTTTGTGCCTATACTCATGAGGTCTGCCTTATTTACATGTACTGTACATATAATAAGTATCTATTCCTCCTCCATTAATTTTCTTTCTTCCTTTCCCTTAGCCACTTTAAATTCATCTCTTTTATGAGGATTTTATCCCTGTCTTTCTCTTCTTCTTTTTTCTAATCTTCTTCCCAGTAGCTTCCCACTCATATTGGAAGGATGTTGTGATGGCCTTCTCTGTCATACTGTGTGTGCTTGGTCTATCAACTGCTTGGAGGAAGCATCACAGTGCCAACAGAAAGATTGATGCCTTTCTCAAAGAAATACGAGTCTATGAAACAGAGCTAAGGAACATTAAGAAAACGTTAGTAATAATAGTTACACTGTATGACTGTACATGTACACTAAGCATAATTCATATTTTTTCCTGACAATTGGCTCTAAGTGAAATACTTATTGAAGGATTTTTTGATACATGTTGATGTCTTTATACTCTTTGGATTGTTTGGGCTGGTTCTGAGTATATGTTTATAGTAGAATCAATGGAGTAATCAGTAATGATTCTTTTTTCTTATTAGGTTCAAAGGCCAAGACTCAATTTCTGATACGACCGATTCCGACACACGAAATACTCAACCAGTAGGAGGAGAAGAAGAAACTGACAGGAACAATTCGTTATCTGATGACTCCTCCTCTTCCTCTTCTTCTGTTGATCTGACGGGCCAGTCCTCATCATCTTCTTCTGATAAATCAAAAGGCGACATGACAACCATCGCTGAAGAAACCTCCTTTCCAGGCAGACCCGACCTCCAGTCTTCTCAGACTCAGCAATCTTCGTCCGATTCAAAGAATGAAAACCTGAGAATGAGGATTTGGAATCTCGAGAACCAGCTTGCGTCCTTGATGCAGAATCGACTAGCCTTGAAGCAGTTATTAATAGAGACTTGCTTACAAGAGAAGTATTACCTTGATGCGAATAAGAGAACTGCAGAGAATGAAGTCATGAGAGCACAGAAAATGGTGAGTGTGTGTGTGTGAGTGTGTGTGTGTGTGTGTGTGTGTGTGTGTGTGTGTGTGTGTGTGTGTGTGAGTGTGTGTGTGTGTGTGTGTGTGTGTGTGTGTGTGTGTGTGTGTG